TTAGTGGTGAAACTCCAATCTCGTGAAGTGTGGTTGTCTCTTGTTGTTGAACATACTTCTATGAAGATTTCATTTTTTTTTGAAAAACTATCAATATAGGGCAAAGATATATACATCGTGGATATGTATGTGGTTCCTACCTGGAAGTCCAAAACAGCTGACGTGTTTGCTTTGCGTGTTTAAAAATACTAGGCTGACCAATTGGCCACCAAGGACATGGTTTTCATCCCTGCTGGAGTCGGCAGCAAGAAGAAGGCAGATCACTATTTGCTTGCGTGAGTCTGTTCCAAATGATCTCACCAGCATGTACAAAATGAACATAAGTTGTGCTGTGTGGTTTTCTTCTGGTGTTTGATTATGTCTAATTTCAGTATTTTGTCAATGGTTGACAGGTGATCAAGCCAGCAAAGAGAGAGTATATTGCTCGACCCTCTTAAGCCAGATGGCTTGGGGACAATTCCTACAAGGACATATTTAGGTTTTGTAACATGATTACCCCCTCACCGTTCTGTGGCTTGTATGGGAGTTCTAAATAGTTATAGTATTCTAAACTGCAGTAACCATCTTGTAGGACCAGGGGTCTGAATCTGATCAAATTCATTTATAATATATCTCCATTTCCACAAAGTCGGAGTGTCCTTAGTGGAACCAAAAGAAAAAAGAGTCTGCAACAGGATGCTTATGAATTATAATATTCATTTTGTTAGAAGCCTTGTCAAAGGTGTTGTTTTCAAGTTCAGCTTTGTTCAGCGGCTGGTAAACGTATTTTTGTTTGTTTTTATTTTAGCCCCGTTCAGTGGCTTTCATAACTTTCCTCTTTTAAGGCATGCAATAGTTCAATGTAAGGAAATCCAAAAACATGAATTATATTGTGTATAGCGTTCCTTCACCAAATCAATTCCCATGTCTTATCATTTCTTTTGACAGTGACCTAGCGCACCGCATTGCTCCAGGTCAGTGGACAGTAAAGTTCGGCAGAGACGTCAAGGTACATTTCTCCACCATCTCATACACCTGCTTTCACATGTCTTTATTTTCCATTTGACCATGAACATCACTGTTATATTCCAAATTCTTACAGGGTTAGCCTCACCAAACCACGGGCAATGACTGTGGTGTCTTCATACTGATGGTAAATTCCTCCCTTGACACTTTTTTTTAAGGGGTTTTGTTAGTTTTTGAAACTCATAACTTAACAGATCTTTATCCTTTCACAGTATGCACTCAACTTCAGCACAGATGCTCTACTTTGGTTTACCGAGGTCAGTATTTATCCTCTGAGTTAGTATTTCAGGGGGAAGAGGGGGCTAACATTGAGTAGACAAATGATGAGGTTCCATTCATTTTCAACTTTATTATTGTTACATTTTCTTTTAGCGGGACATAGCACAGATCCGGAAATGGTGGTGCATTATGCTCATGGAACGGTACCAGATTGAAGGGTAAATCATACATTTTAAATGTTACTTTATAGACAACAGTTTCTTTGACACTGATTTACATTTTCATCCTGATATTATGTGATTTTTATAGCCACGGACAGATCCAGATTATTTAACACATGCATACATATTGATAATTGTATACACATGTAATTAAACAATCACATGACCCACACCTTATATTTTCCTTCAAAGGTCCAGTTTCAAAAGTCCGACATGTGCTTCATATTGGAGGTAATATCTTTTCAGTGAAGCAGTAACTGTTTTTTGTTTAAAAAACGACCTGTGATCACGGCAGAATTTCCAACTATTATGTCTCACTGCTTTTTTTAACTTTATTGATAGCTGTTTTTTACCTCAAGGAGAAGAATAACAAAACATAAGAAAAATGTGTGTGATATATTCAACATTAATATTAAAAATGTGTCTTTTTGCTACCTGAAGCCCAAAGAATCTTGGTATTTCGATTGTGCTGGCAACAGTCTAGTCAATGTGTTGTTAAATATGTTTGATCTAGTCTGACCAATACTCACAGCTGCCAAACTGTCTTCTCTCGGACCTTCTGATGGAAGTGGTTCTCCAGGAAGGTGACAAAGCGTACTCATCACTCACTCTAGTGTGTACCACCTTCAGAGACACAATGTCCACTGTGTCTTTCAGAAGAGGGGCCCACTTTCGCTGGCTTGAGAGTAAGTGATTCAGTGAAGGTGCAGCAGTATACGACAGCTGTGGTGTCTATGCATATTTTTAATGGCTCTATTGAAATGCTTGTTTTACACAGGTGTTGCTACATGGAGTTTGTTCTCTGCTTCATACAAGCAGGATTTCAACGTCATGTACACCATTGACACCTGCCGTGGATGCTTGGAGCCTTACAAAAACTGCAAACCAGGTAGACTTCTTATTCTGGATAATAATGTTTATGTGTCATTACATATTTAGTGTGTTGTGGTCCTAGTGTGATTCAATTACAATATTTTCTTTTTCTATTCATAGGATATGTTGGGAAAGGTAAAAGAGGAGAATTGCAGGGCATCTACTCTGATGACCAACATCCAGGCTATTGCAGTCCCTTCTGCAACCAGATATCATAGGTAAAGATTAACTCACACAAACAAATGTCAGAATAGACTAAATTGTCACTGCAATTAATGAAGATCATCCTTTGATATCTTACCTTCAAGTTTGGTTTTCCCGGACGCTGCCCGTCGTGGACTTCGGGTCGTGGACTTCGGGTCGTGGCTGAACCTGTCTCTGCAGTCCTGCCTTGGGTCATGCTGCTTCCCTGATGGCTTCCTCATATATTCTGAACAATCTGTGCTGTTTTCCTATCCACATGTAAAAGGAACTAGAAGGATTTCTTGATACTAAGGGCTGTAGAGAAAAGTTTGGAGCTTTTTCCATTAACGTTGAAGTTCAAATTCTCAATAAACACTTGAATGCTGTGCTGTCTTTCTATTTACTTGAATGTGTGAATTCATTCAGTTGGGTAGGTAAGCTTGGGATGGATATATGAAATATATACATACAAAAAATTAGAGACTCTTTCCAATGAAAGTAGCTAGCCGCAATAGCTCCAAGATTGCTATATCTAGTTTGTAGGTCGCCAAGTTGGCATCATTGACAGTTCGTCTCTTAAAGCCTCTAAAGCTCTGCAACAAAAAAGGATCATTATGAATGTAAATACTATACATGGTAATGCAGCAGGGCATAGTGCGATGAGGCAGGCAGGCAGAACCAGATTTATTTCTAAATATTTGTCGATCAATATTAGGCTACACTAATATAAGGCTACTAGTATTATGATATTACTGCAATAATATTCCAGTGGTGGCTGCTTAAGGTTGTTTCTGGCTCGTTTGATCCAAACATTGTCCAAAGCTCAAAATGTATTGTAATAGATGTAAGAATTCTCAAAATGTACAATATGTTTTGATCCAACACAATATTCTGATTCAATCCATATATGTTAGGGTTTTTTTTTTTCACCAAAATAAATAGACTGCCCTTCTCTCCAGCTCACCGCACACAAAGGGGGGGGGGGGGGGGGGGGGGGCATCTGTATTAACGGGTCAGTCTATAAGCACTCTAATAGCACCATAAATTACATTTAAATAACCACAAAAGACAATTATTGTTTCCGATATTGATTTAACGAGATGCTGTTATAACATGGAAACGGCTTAATTTAAAAAAATAAGCTTCAAAAATGTTTTATGAAGCACACTGGGTACAGCCCTGTAATACATGTGTTCCGTGTGTATATAGTCTTACGCAAGAAACACATAGCATGAACAGACTGCAACAAAACCAGTCTTACAAACAGACTTCTGCTAAACTGGTGCAGAAGCAAAGCATCTACCTTAGATGAAGTTCACACAGAACTGTGGAAAAGGGAGAACATCTGTACTTGCTTTCAACGACATGATCAGGCTTATATATTATAAAAGTGTTGGCTAAAGTAACGCAGAATATATATATTTTTTAATTGTAAATAATTAAGTACACACACATAACAAGCTGTACCGAGTTCCTCCGGCTGCAGTTCCGCAGACGGCCGGTGTGTGGCAGCATAGCGCTGGGAGCAGAGGGAGGTGAGTATATGACGGATATGACGGATGACGGATGCGACGGAAATACACCCGAACATATTTGGTAGGCCGAACATATCTGGTACTGACACCGGCAGCAAAATCTAGGTGCGTACAGCAGACAGTAGCTAGCAGTTTTCGACGGACACAGCCCACTGAAAAATATATTGTTTTATATCAAATTAATGTACATTACATTACATTACATTGCATTTAGCTGACGCTTGTATCCAAAGCGACTTACAATAAGTACATTCGACCAGGAAGACACAACCTTGAAGAAAACAGAATCATATATATATATATATATATATATTAGCTGTACACTTTACGAATATAATAGTTTTTTATGGACAACTTTACCATTCAATCTCGTCCAACTGATTTTGCTGCCGTCACTGCTCGGCTCTTGGCAGTTCAGGCATTTATCAAACCTGGCAACCCCGGTCAATCAAAGTCCAGTGGCTCCGCCCCAAAGTGACAGAAACTTTTCACGCGCGCGTAGACAGACTCCGCGAGGCTGACACTCCCGCGAGCAAGCAAGAGGGCTGTCTCTCTCGCGAGCGAGCGCAGAGCCTCTCGCGAGCGAGCGCAGAGCCGCTCGCGGGGGTTTAATCTGCGCGCGAGGGTCATTTTATGCGCGTGTAAAAGCACATTTTCCGCTCGTGAGTAGCTTGTTTTACGCGCGAGAATATTGACCCAAATCTGACTCCATACACACACCCTCCCGAGCTTGGATGACACACAGAGACCAATCGAGGGCTTTAGTGTATGATCTATATGAAAGTGGCCATGTCGGCAGGCCACATCATGTAGACAGCCAGTTACCCTCTGTGAGGCAGAGTAAGACCCACATTTGCGCAGCGTTGCGTTCACAATACATACATAAAAAAAAGAATCCTCAGGCCAGCAGGCCACTTAACAGGCCAGGCCATCGGGAAACCTCCCGGTCCTCCCGATGGCCAGTCCGGGCCTGGTGTTCAGGTTATTACCATAAAAGTAAGTTTGTATTTGATTACCTTTCCTAATGATGAAAACCAACTTAAAGGCGACTACAAAAAAATGGACATTATTTAACAATGTTCTTATTATTGACATACCAGAACTAAGAACGTATTACTCATTCCCAGCACACAAAACAGGAAAGTACTTATTTTCACAGATGGTCACTTGTTGCTTTAAAAGATATTCAGTACAATCATCTGTTCTTTTTTTCAGAATGTGTTAAGTGTATTGGTTGAAGAAATGACAACTAAATCAATAAATTGTCCAAAAAGTTGTTAGAGAAATAGTCAACCTCTCTCAGTTAGTCAATAGGTCTAGCACATAGCTAAACGTTTTGTTAAATATTATAGCAAAATGTACTTAGACACATTCATTGCAAGCCTGCACCATCTCCACAGACGGTGCAACTTTGAGTTTGTTCTATACCAAAGATGCTTTTTGCTTCAAATTCTTTCAATGGTGCGTTAATAGCCTATTAACCATGTGAAAGAATTGTATCTGTAGTAATGTAGTCCTCAATAGCCCTCAATGTTCTCACAATTATCTGTGAAAGATAAATAGGAACATTTACCCCAAAAAAGCTGCCAGATATGTTAAGTATTTCTTCATTATTAATTTTAATGTCATGGTTTCGTCTTTTGCCGTCATGATAAATATGACTTTGTATCCCCAAATTTGTTACCATGATTTAGCATTTCTTTGTATTGACTTTTTATCTCAAAATAATAACTTTATATCTTATAATTTCGACTTTTCTATCTCATAGTCATGACCTTTCCATGGGTATTACTTCCCATACTAACGAAACGGAAGCAAATAGCCTACACCCTCGTCTTTATCACGTTCTGTTTCTCCAACTGAAGTGCGTAGTTATTTGTATATCTCCGTGGTGGCTGTCTTCGACAAAATGTACCAATTTGCTATAGTTTTCACGTTGTTCTGTGTCGGGAAAACATTAGGTAAGAGACTGAACATTGTGATGATGTATTTTTGTATAGTTTAATTAGTTATTCGATAGTTCGATAGTTTGATCGCGTAAGCTTGTTTCTGTTACGCCCTTCCTGTTGCTATTTTACGAGGTTTAAAGAAAGCTTAACGTTTGTTATGATACATGTATAAATCGTATATCATTTAAAGCATGATGTATTCCAACTATTTACTTTAAACAGGGAAGCCGGATGAGCCTGCTCCCAAAATGTCCCAACTTATCCTCATCAGTAAGTTTATTCTGTAGTTATTCTACATGATAATGTATTTTTCTACAATGTATGAGCCCTGTAGGATGTTTATAGAGAGCTCAAAGTGTATTGTGATACATATCTATCGTCACACAGAGTGCCTCCATAGAAACATTTCCTGTAACTCAACAACGGCTGAGGGATACACTTTCCCATTCTCGTGTCCTGCGGAAGGAGATGTTAACGTATATCAAAATAAGGTATTTGTATTTACTTGTACACACTCTGGTAGTCAAATGTTTTCTTTATAACATGTTTACTTTGGTTATCCTTAACTAGGCCTTTGTAAAAAAGAAAAATACATTCAAGGTGACGGGACAAAGAGGAAGTGCGAGTTCGACACTGATGTTGATGTTTTTTGTTTAACTTGAGGTCATTTAAGGTGAACTTTTTATTATTTCCCAACAGTCTAAAATTGCTGTTTATGTTGATGGGACTCGACCTTATGATTATTCGGATGAAGTGAAGAGCATGACGTCTGATTCAGTCACTACAAGACACTGCAGAGACCTGCACATACAATGCTTTTTGACCGGAGTGAGTCTCCCTCTATCCGTCATTTATTAAATCAATAAAAGTAATATATTGATATATAATGATGTAAATAGAGAACATGTAAAAATACCCTCATAATATAGAATTTTATTTTACCTTTCAGGAGAAGTACCTTACCGAAATCTGTGTGGATTATAAAGTTACCGGTAAATCAATAAAGTGTTTGATTTATAAACAAACACACACACACATATATATATATATATATATATATATATATATCACATATACATTGCAAAAATGTGTACCTTTTTACCTTCAAACAGAGAAGCCAGAGGAGCCAGAGAAGCAGGATGAGCCTGATCCTACATTTCCCCCAAAGAACCTTATTGGTAAGTGGACGTTTTTCTGATGGAATTCATCTGTTGTAATATAACTCAAGTTAATATTTGATCATAACATGTTATTTTTTGGTTTGTTGTACAGTTGTTGTTGTGGGGCTCATTGTGGTCATTGTGGCGCTGCTCTGTTGGAAAAAGTGAGTTATATTCTATTTGCGCTCACAATTTACGGTTAGTTTTAATACACATTTACTAACACAGTATCCTGCATGAACTGAGAAACATTTGTTTGTGGTTTGTTTCTTGTGTCAGGAAGCAGTACTGTGCATGTAAAGTGTCGCAGTTTTCAACGTACCTACGCTCTTGTCTCAGAATAACAAAGAGGGAAGGGGCACAGGTAACTAGGTATGTATTTCTTTCAAATATATTACAGCTGGCACAGATGCACTTGAATACACTTCTGGCATTACGTTTCAAATGGTTAAACACAAACAAAAAGTTGGTCAAAGTCAAATGTCGCCATAGAGAAAGGGTGAATTAAAGTATAACATATATACAGTATAATAATAATAATAATAATCGTCTTGCTCAATTCAGCACATTAGGTCTACTTCTTTGTGTTTATTTAGTGCTGCTGAATGTAATTCTATGTTTGAATGTCTCTTTAAGACACCCTGCAGGAAGTGGGTTCCAGGAGAGCATAGCTGGTGATTTGGAAGGACAACAACTCAACGGTGATATAAGGTAAGGTTACATTAGAATACTTTTACCAGAGATATGTGAAGTTGAATAGATTTCCATCTTTTCTTTGTTATTACAGGCTGTGAGAAATAGTTGCCACCGATCTAGATGGAAGCGTTGAAAATGATATAGAGTACGATAAAACACTTGAAAGTGTGCATGTTCCCAGCTTAAGTTGTCATGTTATCAATATAACATCTTCATCCACAGATCTCTGTTGAGCCTTTGTCAAAACCGTTAAAGTGTTTTGTTAAATAGCAATTGGAAGTCTAGACTATAATTTTCTAAAAGCTACCATTGTCTCCATAGTATTGATCGTGAAGCTGATGGCAGGTCTGCTCCAGTCTCTAGTCTGGACCACAATTTGAGCTGTGAGGGTATCCAGCCCACTAAAAAGTGAGAAAGAGGGTTGTTCACTTTTTCTTGCGCCTGTTGCTTACTTTCCTTTTATGGCTTGAGCAGGTTTTGAATAACATTTCTCAGGTGAGATTCAATGCCATTTTATTTTAATTGTGTTTTGCAGTGGGAACATACATGCACCTGTCGTAATTAAAGACCCCAATCATCGAGCCATGAACGGGTAAGCTTTTGGTGTTGGATGGATTGTCAGTGTGTTTATTATTATTTGTTCTTTTTAAAGTTCAGTCAGCACTGTTATTTAACAACTGTTGTGTTTGTTTGCTTCAGAAGTGAGAGGGATGATCCAGGAGGAATTAATGACAACAATGGAGAACACTTCGTGAGGTAAGTCTGTATTCTAACAATTTAGGCTGCTCAACCACCACACATAATGCAATAACTGTAACCATTCTCACACATACACACACTTTTAATGCACTTTATATACTATTTTTATATCAATATTTTTAACAATTTATTCCCCCCTGTATGTTGTCTGTCCTATTGCCGTGTTTTTTAGTGTTATGTATTTGTTTGTATTTTTTGCACACCGGGACAGAGTTGCACTCTGAATCTCGTTATACTCTGTGTATAATGACAATAAAAGGCTTTAACTTAAATTAGATATTCGTAGATATACTGTAATTATATCTTGAAAATGTTTTATGTTTACCTTGTTATACTTTATGCCAACAAGGGGCTAATCACTTCTTATTAGCTTAGAAGGAAATACAGAATTTGTTGATTGCATTAAATATAATCATTTGCAGCAAGTAAAGTACTGTGATGCTAGGTGATGTATTGAATGTTCGCAAAATGATTAAACAAAAATCAAATAAAGTGAAAAAATATCCAGTGATACAATATGATAAAAACAAGAAGATTAATAAAAACATACAGTAATATAGAGCTTGTTAAACAGCATGCATATAAGGACTTATTTTTCACTTATAAAAGCTGACAAGCAAAACTGTGATGACTATATATTAATAATAAAATTAAGTTTGACTTTAATCGTGTAAACAGTGCAAATAAATGCAATGCAGCAGTGAAAATAACAAATGAGGGGAAGTACTCACCCTCAGGTTTTTCTATCCCCATCTCTTCATCTGTGAATACTTCTCTAGGATCGAGGAAACGCACAATGGATGTGCTCCTGGTTGTGGGGGTCCTGAAGCTTGTGAGAATGAAGGACACCGCCTGCTGCCTCCTGAGAGGTGAGACTTCTTCCTGCTCTCAGACACTCTGCACTCAGAACTGAGCCCAAAGACAAATCTCTGTCGCTTTGCAATTTCCAGTCTGCTTTTCAACAGCAGAACTTGTGTGTTGTCTGCTTGGAAAGTGAGCATTACCAAGTTATACTATTTCTGTCCAGAGGCTTATATCTCCATTCCTTGTTTCTGTCTCCAGCGCTGACAGGCAAGCCCTCCAACCTCCTGACATGACGGATGAAGCCAGAGCTTTGGTGAACAAGGCCGGCTTTGAGTCAAACCAGCCCAGAATGTGCTCCACTGCACCGGTAAGTAAAAGCTTTCTACTGTATATATCTTCTGTTTAAATGCTTGTATTATTTTGTTTTCGGTTTAACATGGTCATTGTTTGTTTTCTTTGCTTCAGGAAAATGGCGTGAAGTCAACCACCAACATGGGGAACTATCAATACTGATAACTATTATTATAGATAAAATAATAACCTATATATATATACACACTATAACTATATGTCTCACAAGGTATGTGGTACATTTACTGGCAGCTTCTTTGTAATCAAGCCCAGCACTTTCATTTAAATCATAACTTTCATCATCATCGTTGCTCTCTTTTCGAGCAGGCTGTCCTTTTTCACGATGTTCGAATATACGTTTTCTCTAAAAGCCATCTCTACCAAATTGTATACAATTGTATCCTATTCAAATCATTCTGTTGACATATGTGATCAGTCATAGATGGATACATCTTAATTTGGCTTATTACATTTAAACTAATATTAGTTATTACAACAACTAAGACACATGTGTGATTTGTTATTGAGATACATAGATAGTGCATGGCTTGACCAAAGTATGGGTGAACCAAATATCAGAAAATGTACCACATTCTCAGCTACGAGACTAAAAAATATAATAATACTTATACTATGTTTATAATCTATGGATGAAATACATTTGTATAAGCTATAGATATATCATATTATACAATGACTTGTTAAAATATTTCATTTTAATGAGACATGAATGGAAAACATTATAAAGAATGTTTCTTCTTTTTGATTGGAGTTGTAATATCTTATGTATCCATTCTGTTATAAGTAAGTCTGCTATTAATTCTTGTTTATCATATAACATGTATTCAAGTGCCTTCACTATTTTGTAATTATAAAGCATTTTACTCCGCATTTGCAAATTCAGATTCACATTATATTGAGATTGTTCTTTTCTTGCTTACGTGCTTTTATTATTAATCAATTTATATATAAATGAGAAAGAATACAATTGTAAGTGCATTACAAATTATGAATTTTTGTCTTTTAAATAAAATGCTATATCCACCCTGGATTTCACTGCCTGGTCTTTTTGTTAGAACTTGCTTTCTAAACTATTGGAAGTATCCTTTTTTTACCACAAGGGGGCAGTAAATGGTCATCGGTTTCTACCACCGAGGTATACAGGAAACATAATTACACCTCTTCTTACTTTAGTTAAGCGATTAACTTATATTTACGTATACATGGCAATAGCTTCAAAATTCCTGATTGTATCTTCACCCACAAAATATACATTCATATGCTGTATTTCTGTGATTAACCATTATGAGTGAGGATAAAAGGCTTTTGTTTTTGAAAATAAACCAAGTCCGCCCTTATAGAGCTGCTGATTGACTATTGTGTCACTCCCTTTTGCAATTAGTGGCTATGTTTCAGTTGATCTCTATTTTCCAGTATACCATTTCCATTTATTAGTCAACCAATGAATACACAGTAAATAAATTACACAGTACTTGTTCATTTAAATGTATCTTACAGTATTTAAAAGATGTGTTGCCTGCAAGGCTTGATGTATGGTAGTAATCACGGTTACACATAAACACACGGGGGTTCAGGCTGAATATAATCCATCTCTTTTCTCTATCTCTTAGGATCTGCTGATAGTTGTCGTTAGTCAATGTCTGATTCTATTTTAGGCTTCCCTAAATGTTCAATGACCTTGAAAGAGCCCCCTTTTTACCTCTCAGATGGGCTGAGTACGAAGAAAAAATGGTGTTAGAGGCTTTGTTGTTCATTCTTGGTGTGTTAGTGTGTTAAAGTGTTACTCTACTACCAGTGAAAACAGGGTGATTGAATGGTCATGCCTTCAGAGCCTCCCCTCTCAGGGAGTTTCACTGAGGGGACATGAGCGAGGTGGATGAGTAGGGGGCGGCTCAATACATGCCATCATACATGTACACAGTACAGTGTGACACGGGGGAAAAGGACATGGGAGAGGCTGTAATTATGGCTGAATGCTCTGATGCACATAATAATTAGATATCAGCTAATTAGTTACCAATCGCACTCCTCATTGAACGGTATTATGAGCAGTCAAGGAAACAAAAGTCGGTGGAACACTGATCAGCCCACATCAGGGATGAGAAGGCTTAAGGGAAGCTAGATGCTGCAACAACCCAGGCCTGCCTGACGCTGAGTTGTGTTATCCCTAACTGATCTCTAGTTGATCACAATCTTTACGCTTACTCTGGAGCGTACTAAAGGTCGCATACAGTTGTGTGCCGCTGCAGCTTTACAGACAGCATCAAACATTGCTTCAATCAGAAGCCAGTAAGCTGCACTCACGTGGCAGTTATTAAAAGATTACATCAGGGATCACACTACACTGTATGATTAATTAACCTTGACTGATGCTTGGTAAAGAAGAATCCAGCTGAGCAAGTATGCCCACAGGTCTGCATACATACAACATATGAGATGGTTGAAAGCACCATTGTAGCGGGTCTCGTCATACTGACTCAGGGTTACAGTGAAACGCGCGTAAAGCTCTTTAGCTCCTCTCAAAACAGGAAGATTTTTGGGTTTTCCCTCCTAAAGTGACAACTTGCTTTTTACTGAATCTCTTTGATCACTTTGTGTGGTAGCTTTGGACATAGACCAGTCTTTGACTCATCTGCATATGCATACTACAATTACAGTGTGTGGTTCAAAGGGGCGCTGACTCAGGAAGGGGCTTGGTTGCTTGGCTTCTGTCCCCTGCTTCCCATGGTATACAGAGGAGCAGCACAATGCTCTTGTAACCTGCAGGGCACCCCATGAATAAAACATAACCACTGTATTACTGCTTAAAGATGTCTTTTCATTTCCAGTTTGAATCCCAGCGTAGGTATATTTAAGTTAATATGCAAATGGCACAGCGAAAGATTGATTTTTTTAATAATCTCTGTGCGCAGTTATGCTTTTATTGCACCGACACATGCACAAGCAATTATGCTGCACAAGCATACAACCACAAAACAATTGAGCCTCTTTAAGATGTTGCCAGAGAAAGCCTGAAGCATGAACAGTGTATATTTTCAATAGTTTTTTATTAATATGTGCTGATACAAGGTCGCTCTGACCTGCAATGATGCAAACACTCACATAAAATCACCCCCCTTGGCCGGACAGCTGTCAAAGCAGTGGTCTTGAGAAAATAAACAAGAACATTATCCTTCAAACAAAAATAGAAACAGTATCAAGGTGTTATATATCCTCAGTTTACAAATGTTTCAGTGGTACATGACAAATTATTTATTTTATAGAAAAATCACAGAAAGCTCTGGAAATGGTGCTATAAGTAGAGCCCAACATGGCACAATGACAGTTCTTTCAATGCCTACAGCCTGTTATGTAAAACCATTAGCATCCAATAACTTATTCCCAGAAACAAAAGCATTTCAGGGATGTCCAATACTGACCAGGTTCCATTGTACTGAGTTAATAATACAGCCATTAGCTGATACTCAGAATATCCCATTCACGCCTGCTATAGCCAGCTACTTTTCCTCTGATGATGGACATCATCTTGGGCAACATTTACTGATTCGTCCCACAGACGATCATGGGATGGATATCACTACAGCCGTGGACAGGCACATGCAGGCACAGTTCAGCCCCTCCCTACTTTCAGAGACTCATTGGAGGAAGAGGAAGAAATAGAAAAAAACATGCCTACAGATCAAGCTGCTCCTGCTGTATGTGTATAAATGTTAACAAGTAAACAGCTGATACAAGTCTTCACTTCAGTGTATAAAACGACCTAACCTGATTGAAGATGGTTATTATATGTGTGTCAAAAGATATGTTTGTTTGGACCTGGGGGTTTCTATGTAGAATGTGCCTCACAGGTTTAACATTTGGAGAAGCTCATCCCACACAAAAGCCCCTCTGATGTCGGTCCCACCCTGTGCATCAAAGACGGCCCGAATTGCTGGCACAGCTCCACGAACACATATTCAACACCAAAGCGAAACAGCACAATCCTCATCACTGGGTTTATGCCATACCCCTACATACTGTTAAAACTACTCTATAAGTACTGTATTCAGTAGTCATGTGGACACACAACAAGAGACCAATAACAAAATAGTACTACTTTATCAGTGTTTACATTTGCTTTAAAAAAATCTGTATAGGAAAATCTTCTTGCGTTTGTTAGCACTCTAAAAATCCAGCAGTGGATTCATTTTTTCACATTTATTTATGGAAGCATCCATTAGACCAAAAAACAATCACGTCATCTATCTTCCTCTGCAGGCAGAATCGTTTAATTCAATGAACAAACTCAAAATATGACATGCCAGCTTGATCTAATAAAACAAATAAAGTGATAGGCTCTGGACTTCAAACCACCAACAGAAAAGGTCTCTCTCTCTCTCATCGGTAAAAAAAAGAAAGAACGGTCTGTGTGTTAAAGTGTGGACTGAGTAAACTGACTGTAGGCCTGCTGGGACCTCCGCTGTCTAACGACTGAGCAATAGTTCACTCTCCACTGACACAAAGCGGACAAAGGGTGCGCCACTACTGGGTCAAAGGTCGGGCATCCCACCTTTTAAGCAACTGGAGCACATGCATGTTAGGTTGCAACTGGCACAGAAGAGAAATGTTGTGAAACAGACGGAGATGGAAAAAGAAAGTAGAAAAAAAGAGAGCGAAGCCAGTTCACTGCAGCGAATTAGAAACCGCCGTGTTATTATTGTAATCACAGGTTGAGAGGACTTTGAATGGTGGAGAAACTCCTGTTGTGTGAGCCTCCGTCCCACAGCATGGGCTGCGGACCTTCTACTGTATAATCACCATCATTTACCACAGTACTGCACTCTGTTTTTATTGAGATATTAATCTGGGATAAACAAAGCTTTTGACAAAACAAATTAACACTCTCAAAGAAGTGCTGCACTAAAGGAGTCCATTGAGATTGATATTAAAATGTGGATGAGATGGGAGAGATAGGGAGGAAAAGAAAAGGAGGTAGGAGGTGCTGGAAAGGAGAGAAGCAGGCCCAAGGTGACGCACATTCCCCCTCTCATGGGGAAGGCCTGTCTGAACACTGCTTCTCCCCTGGCAAAGATCAGCATCAGCACATTATATCAAATTCAATGAGGGAGGGATGGAGTTAATGATGATGGTGATGAGAATGATGGAGATTAAGATGATGATGGCCGACTTGTGTTTCCTATTAACAGTTCCGCCCTGGAGGGAATTGTTTTATCTTTAGTCGTGCTTCTTAAAGTACATTCAGTTGTCCTCAGTTGACCAATGGGTGCTATCTGAGTACGGTGCCCAATCCTCAAGCCATTAGATCTGTGCTTCACATTGTCCAGCAGCGCCGCAAAACATGAGTATGTTGTCTTTAATTTGAAAACACAGGCAGCTCCCAGGTTCAAATCTAAGTCATGTACCATCAGCAGTATGTTCCCTCTATGGCTCAAGTTATGATTCCGGGGCCTCATCGCGCTCTGCAGCCTTTACAATGATACTTACAAAAGTGATTTGAATAACAAGAATACATGGTGGTAAATCCTTGTAATCCCTTTCCCTTATCTGTCTTTAACCCTCTCTCTCTTTCAGCCCCAGGAGACACCGCTAAAAGCTGTCCTTTGGGTTCTCTCTTAGAAGTGGGACAGTCGGGCCCAGCCAAATGTCACACTGCAGTGGATGCATCTGTTTTCTGCTCACGTCCTGTCCTCACAGCACACTCTCTCGCTCGTCACAGGTTTACAAGGAAGACATTTGAAATAAATAAAATAAATGACAATGCCATGAATAAATCGACGTGAATAAATATTCCAAAAACATACATAAAAACTGATAAATAAACCATAATAAATACCTATAAATACAGCATTTGAGAAGGTGAATTCTCAGTATTTTTAAAGGTCAGACAGCTGGATGAAAGGAGCCTCATGAGCAGCTCTCTCTTGACAGCTAATTTCTCAAATGTATAGCTTGCATAAGGTGGCATATTGGAAACATGTTCCTTCCGATCAGTCAACCCTGCTTGTCATTTTCATGGTGTATGGTTATCTCACGTC